CTTCTTAGACTTCTTTTCCCAGGTGGTTACAGCCATATCGTGGTTGGGACAGATCAGGAATTCATCGGAAGGATGTATTTGGTGATTTGCAGGAGAAAACCCAAACTTCTAGAGGCTGGAACAACTGGCACTCTTAGGCATATCTGTGTATCTCTCCTCCAATGGTCTGTTTACTCTGGACACTTTGGGTATGGTACAGGGCTCCATGGTGAGCAGAGAGACCTCTCCCTGAGACACCCACAGAGACAGAGAGAAAAAGGTGCTTCATCCTGGAACTGAGCCTTGGAAGTTAAGCTGCAGCACTTATACCACATTCTTTTTGTGAGACTGCAACAAGTTTTACTAAAGTTCAAGAAGGGGGAATTATTAGATGGGAGGGTGTGAAAGTATTTTAGCCATCACACAAAGCTATCACATATACAAGCTTTAGAAGGAAACCACGAGAAGTCCCACAGCTATTGTAAAATTCATTAAATATTGACATTAAAACCAAAGTAAAATCATTAATTTTGCATAAGGGAAGGTTTTTTTAAGCTACTGACATAATAAACACATGTAATATATTTATTTACATTATTTTGAATATGAAATAGGTATCCTCAAAAAACGCCTCAGTTTGTAGAATACCAGATTTATCGTCAGTTTGTGTTCGAAATGAAACTAATGTTGATAACATGATATCAAAATCTTAGAACTTGATATCTTGAATTCATGTATATTTCACTAGTTATTTTTTTATAAACCACATTATTAATAAACAAAAACCTATTGCAAAAGTTCAAATAATGAAGTATACGGAATAACATGTTAAAATATCATCATTGGAAATTCCATGTATGCTTCCAGATCTTTTCTTCTATGGTCATATAAATTCACATATACATATTTATTTCTATTTCCAAAAAAAAGAGCACCAGGACTGTAATTTCTGGAACTTGTTTATTATAATGTGACATGGAGAGTGTGCAACAGTTTGCTTGTAATCTTTTTTTCCTAATGGATATATTATTTATACATATGTTTGACATAAGTGTGTTCCCTGAAAGCCATGTAATGCTAGTGGGAACATTCTAAATATAACCATGAACACGTGCAAGTATTTCTATGTGACAGATTTCTGGATGTAGAATTGCAATGTCAAATGATATGTTTAAATTTCATTTAAAAGGGCTTTTCCATATTATACTTCCTCAAAAAGAGTTTGTACCAGATATTTGCATGGCAAATCATCTGTAGAAAAATTATTTATTGACTCACATTCCATTTCCCAAAGCACCAATGACATTTGTCATAATTTATATATGATATTAGCCATTTTGCTTATGTGAATATCCTGTTCATGTCCTTCACCTATTTTCATATTGGGTTGCTTGACTTTTTATAAGAAATTTGAAGTAGTTTTTGTAAGATAAATTCTAGCCAAAATAAGCAGGTGAAGAGAGGTAACAAAGGGCCAGGTAGTTTATTTGCACGCAATTCCCAGGCAAGGTTTCTCAGTCTACAGAAATGGAGGCTGGGAAACGTGCTCGTAAATAGATAGGCAGCGAGTTTTTAAAGAAGATAGGGGGAGGAAGAGCTTAGATTTACAGCGGCACTAGGATAGGCTAGCCCAAGGCACGTTTTTCAGGTTGGGAGGGGCAGCAGCTGGGGACTTTGGCACGTCATCAGTGTCTGACGTGCTCACCCCTCCCCCCAGTGCCTTCAACCTTACAGTTTTCACTACGCAATGAATAATAATCCCTCTCGTGTTATGTGTGCTGCAATGTAGATTTGAGGAAAATAATTTGAGTGTATATACATGATTAAACAATATCAATTATGGTGCTGTATAAGTTATGGAATGTTTAAAAAATGTCAATTATTGAGAATTTGTACAGAAAATCCTGTGGTAAATTTCTCCTAAGATTCCCCAAGAATCCAAGTTTTAAATTAAAAAAAAAATAAATTCATGCCTTAGCATAGGGAATGTTTGTTGTAAGACTTGGATTGTGTATGACCAGCAGGGAGGTATGCTTCTCCTGACCTGGAACACTTTGATCGTAAAGTGAGTCCCTCATTTGTAGTTTTTAGGAGGGTCTTTGGATTCCTTTGATTTGACAATATTCCATAAAATTAACAACATTTTCATATTCTTCTTATTGTTATTGATTATGTCAGTTATAATGTGCCTAGGTTTAAATAAAATAATTATTATTTTCTGTCATGACAAAGGACTTAATGTTTACACATAAGAGCTGTGGGAGGAATGGGATCTTGGACTCCTGAGAAAAGAGACAAAAGCATGAGACAGGCTCCCCTGAGTATGGTGAAATAGAACCATAGGCATTATTTCAAATTTCAACAAACACATTGAATTTTACACCATATCTGTAAGCAGATAAACAGTACTACATGATGTTATAAAAGAAGCAGGCATATTTCTGTTCATGAACATTTGAAAATAATGAAAATTCGTGAAGTCCCTTTAAGGTGCAGGTTTAATAATCTACGTTTGAAACCTTTCATCCATTATCTAAGGCTGAATGTGAGAGTGAAAGCAACCAAGTGAATATTATTAAAGATCATGAGGAAAATAAAATTAGGTCATGAAATCAAAGACTTTCACATAGCTTAATTGTATAATAGGAAGCTATGGGGTAAATGGAAGTTTTCAAGCAGAATTTCCCACCTGGCCTTGATAGTAGTATGCATATAAGGACCTATTTGCACATCAATGTAATGTTTACCACTCCACTGTGGTCCCCCTTGGCTGGCCTGGAGCAAGGGGTGGAGAGAAAATGGCCATTCTCTTCTCCCCTCTTTTCCTGGGGTGTAATTGGTCAGATGCCTATCAGTCACCAGACACCCACCCACGGAGTTCCTCCAGGAAGAAGCAGGGCTAAGGGGAGCATACAACCCAGTCACAGGGATGGGATGGGGGAACTAGCTTACTAGTGGGGCCAGAGATGGAGGATTTGGGGGAGTTCTGTGAGAGAGACTGAGCCATGACAAATAAAAACCCTTTCCCCTTTCCCTGGATTTCTTCGTTATCAGCAGGTTCATAAAGAACTTGCCCAGGGTGGGGGACCACCTTTGTCCTTGAGCCACAGAAGAAGGTTGCAGTTGTTATACTTCTAATTCTACAAATATTTCTCTGGGAATTGATTTAAACTAGATGAAGGCAAATAGCTTGCCATGTTTTTAGGTAAGTAGTGTTGCCTAGGACAGATGCACAATAAAAATGATTAATTAGATAAAGTTCTGCACCAAAAGGAAATTAAAATATTCTGAATTTTTTCACAATAATGCTTTCGTTGTGAATAAGGCTTTTGTGTCCATATGCGTGGCAGGAAACACAGTTAAGGTCACTTTTGTTGGTGTACCTTTCAAATTAGAAAAATAGTTTTATTGTATGCCGTTTTTTTTCTCTTTAGCATGACATATTTCTAACTCTTAAAAATGTAACAAATCCCTTGAAAACAAATTTGATCTGATAAACTACATTGTGAAAAGTCATTTTATCGCAGGAGGAAGGGAACCTTACATCACAGCTTCTTGCTGGAATAAACTGGAGGAGGCCCATCTGTGAGTCATCCCAGCTTCTGGCCTCAGAAACAACTACTCCTTTTTGTCCTTCATTCCTATTTTAGCAAACTTCCGGCAACAAAACAGACAACATTTTGTGATGACAAATAGAGCAGTGGCCACACAGGCCAGCAGGAACCCAATCACATCCAGGGAGTGGTACTGGAACCAGGTGAGGTCATGGGAGGCTGGCCGCAGGTGCTTGGCTCCTTTGTGGCGCATGACAAACTCGATCCAGAAGACCGCTCGGTCGAGAGGTTTCATTGGCTGGTCATGATGAATTCTTGATAATCTCATAGCATTCTCTTTATATCTGCAGGGGAAATACAAAGATAGCAACATGGAAAGGAACTTAATTTCCCTAAGCATATCATCCCCATGAAAGGTTTTTGAAAAGTATCTTATGAATGATTCAAAATAAGTGTTATAAAATTGCAGAAGTAGTACATTTTTAAGTTGGGTTTGGCTTTCAAATTGGAATTTTCTGATTGACAATTAAAAAGTGAAGACAAAGTGAAGATGGGATCGTTTAATCTTTTCTAGCAGAGGTAATGGTGAATGAGACGGTGAAAGTGCACTGTTATGGTCCTCATGAAGCACTTAACATGAATTGTGTCTTGATGGGTGAAGTGATTCTTCACCAGTCCTGTGCGTCCACTCTTCTCTTCTACCCCTTCTCCTTATTTTCCGTCCTATAAACAGTAGGCTCTTTGAAATAGACATCAGATTATGATGCTCTTTGCTAAAGTTTCCATCTGACATTTCATCACACTTAGAATAAATTCCAAATCTGTTCTTGGCCTACAGGACCTTGCATGGGCAGACTCTGGCAACCTCTTCTCCTATCCTTTGGTCCACGCACACTCTCCTCTGGGCATTTTGGCCTTCCTACTGTGCCACTCTGTGATGGCAAACTTATGCTTTCTTCTATTTGTGTGCGTGTGTGGTCTATTTTTTTCTACTTGATTCCTAGAGTTTTTAAAATGCATTCTATTTTATATAATAAACATTTAAGTATGAAATACATAAGAAAAATGTACATAAGCCTAATTGCTCAAAATTTCAGAATTGATTAGAAAATTATTGTGAAGTGAATATACTAATGTTCCCATTATTCAGATATTGAAATAGGATATCACAAGCTACCCAGAAGCATCCTGTTTTCCTTGATCCTTTCAATCACTACAATCTTACCTGAATTAATGGGTATCCTAAATTTTAGCACCATAAATTAGTTTCTTTTATTTATATTTGGAATCATATAGTAGTACTTATTTCCTTTTGTCTTTTGTGTGTTACCTGTTGGTTAATTCCATTGCTGTATAGTATTCCTTTGCCTGGCCGTACCACCAATAGTCTCTTGACTTAATGAACAACAGACATTTGTGGCAACAATTTTTTGGCCATTTTTATTAATTATTATTACTATACTAATTATTAATAAAAATATTACATACATTTTTTGATTTACATTTTTTTTACCATTCTGTGTATGTATCTAGAAGTGGAGTTGCTGAGAAAAAGGCATATTTATGATTATGATTTATTTATTAACCCTGAATGATGTAAGAGTATATTAATTTCCAAAATTTAGAGACGTCTCAGCGATCTTTCTTTTTGATGATTTCAAAGTGAATTCTAGTAAGGTGGACTATATATTCTTTCTGATTTGTATATTTCAAATTACTGAGTCTTGGTGTATGAGCCAGCATATGGTCAATTCCAGTATCTCTTCCAATCTGGAAAAGTGTGTATTCTCTTTTGTTTTATCTATTTCTATGCCTATATACATCTCAAAGGGTTTACATTTTTAAATTTTGTTCCTCAAAACTTTCAGGTACTTATCCATTATTTTGTCATTTTTTCTATGTTTTTAAGGAAGGTGTTTAGATACTATTATAATTATACATTTATATACTAGTTTTTTCTTTGTCAACTTTTGCTTTATTTGGGGTTTTATTAGTAGATGTTACCAATTATAAATTATATTGCTTTGAAATATTTATCTATTTATTATCATGAAAGATTCATTTTTATTTTTAGTAGTGCTTCTGCACTATTATGTCTGATATTATTATAGGTTGAACATCTTTCTATGTTTATTGGCTGAAATAGATCTTTTCCTAACTTTGTACTTATAATCTCCTATACTTCTATTTAAACATATATTATAAACAGTATATATACCTTTTAAAATTGTATCTGACAATTTTAAATTCTTTAAATGATTTAGCCTGTTAAGATTCTATGTATGTACTGACATATTTACATTTTCATTTACCAGTTTATTCTGTTTCTTTTTTATTTGTACACCTTCTTTGTATTTCTTTTCTATTATTTTTTGCCTATTTAAAAGTATTTTTATCTTCAATTATTCCATCATTTTCTTGATAATATACATTTTTTGAGTATTTCTTAAGTGTTAACTTCTAATACAATAAATAATGATAATAGTAATAAATGCTGAATTGATGGTTGTCATGCTAGGCCCTACAAATTCTGCCACTTTATTTTCCCCATAATATGGAAGAGTTTAATATCCATCTTATCATATTTTAAAACTTTGATGCTTCAAAGGACACAATCAAGAAATTCAGAAACCAAACTATCCAGAATGAGGGAAAATATTAATAAATCATATATCTGATAAAATACTTGTATCATAGTACATAAGGAATTAATTTTATTCAAATATAAGACCTCCAAATTCAAAACTTATCAAACTATTCTAAAGAGAATATATGAATGCCCAATAAGCAGATGAAAAGTTGTTCAATAGCCTATGCTATAAGGGAGATACAAATCAAGAACACAAGGAGAGACCACTCAACCCACTAGAATGGTTATAATAATAATAATAATAATAATAATAATAATAATAATAAAATAGATGATAAGTGTTGATAAAGTATGGATCTCTCATACAAAGCTGACGGGAATGTGAAATGGCACAACTTACTTTGACATCAGTTTGGCAGTTCCTCAAAGAGTTATCAAATATGACCTAGCAATTCTACTCCTAGATATCCAGCCGAAAGAAATGAAAAACATATGTTCACACAAAAATGCATATACCAATGTTCATAATAGCCACATGGGGAAACATTCAAAATGTTCATGAACTGATAAATGGATAAATAAATGTAGCATACTCATACCCTACAATATTATTCAGCAATACAGAACTACCACATGGATGAAACTGTAAAACATCATAAGTGAAAAGAAGCAGTTGCAAAATACCATATATTTTTGTTTCCATTTGTATGAAATGTTCAGAATACGGTAATTTATAACTGTAAGAAAGTATAATAATGGTTGGCTAAGGCAGGAAGAATGGAGAGTGACTTCTAAGGAACATGAGATATCTTTTTGGACTGATAAAAATGTCCCAAATTTAGATTATGATGAAGGTTTCATAACTTTGTAACACACAACATATGTCATAGATAAAGATGAAATTTTATGGTATGTAAATTACATATCATTATAAAATACATTAAAATAATGATAAATGTTACTCAGCAAAAAAGATTTAAAAATTCATAAAGTTTTGGTATTGAATTGGAACATTTTATATAACTTTAAATTCTTCATTTTTTCATTCTGGATTCTATATTTTTTTAAATGTTTCTTTTTACAATTACGTGTATAACCTTCTGCATTTGTTTATATAGAAAATTGTTGTACACATTGGGTACTCATTAAATCATGGGCTTAACATGCAACTTTGAAATAAATGTCTTGTTGAAAATAAAAGCAGATTTAAGATGGGTGAAATCATGTTAAAAGTTTTAAAATTAGCCTCTTAAACATGAGATGAAACTCATGCTCACTCTTGACAAAAGAACCTATCTGTACATACTATGTATTTTAAAAAATTGCGATACTCACAAAGGGTCATTAATGACTCTCTTCAATGCACGGAGCAAATCTGTACTAGACAGTGTCTCCAAATCCAGTCTGACAGCTGCTCCTTTGACCTCCAAGTGAGCGATGTTATCAGGTTGATCTCCAAACAAAGGAATGCCCACCATTGGGATCCCGTGGTAGATTGCCTCATAGATGCCATTGGCTCCACCATGAGTTATGAAGGCTTTAGTCTTTGGATGACCTAGGATTAGGTGAATTTCAGCAAATCATTAATTATGAATCTTATAAATAAAAAGAGACTTGGACAATAGAAGGCATTGAAAGAGACAGGGTGTTCCAGAACATTTCAGATATAAGAAATGTGCAGAGAAAAAAGAAGATGGCATATTTGAAAATATTCTCTTAAAGAAATAGTGAAGCCACTGAGTCTGACATACAGGGTATCAAAGCAGCTGGGAAAGTGAGAGTGATGGCTCTGGAATCAAAGGAAGGAAAAGTTGCACTTTAATCTGAAATGTGTTATCTCTTCATGAAGATTATAGATATTTTCCTATAGAAAATGGAAAATCACGAGTAGTAAAGGAGGATTTTATTTTTCATGACCCTAAATTTCCACATAGAAGGGGAAAGGATAGCCATAATGTGTGAGAACTAGGAGTCAGGGCAAAGACCCAAGTAACTATTGAAAAGTTCTCTGATCCTATCCAGACTTATCAAGAAACAAACAGAGTCCACACACATAAACAGAATCAGAAATGAGAAAGAAAAAATCACTACAGACACCACAGAAATACAAAGAATTATTAGAGAATACTATGAACATTATATGCTAAAAAAACTGGATAACCTAGAAGAAATGGAAAACTTTCTAGAAAAATACAACCTTCCAAGGCTGACCCAGGAAGAAACAGAAAATCTGAACAGACCAGCTACCAGCATATAGACACTATATGCAAGAGAATGAAGCTGGATTATTGTCTAACCCTGTACACAAAAGTAAACTCAAAATGGATCAAAGACCTGAATGTAAGTCATGAAACTATGAAACTCTTAGAAAAAAATATAGGCAAAAATGTCTTGAATATTAACATGAGCAACTTTTTCCTGAATGCATCTCCTCAGGCAAGGAAACAAAATAAAAATGAACAAATGGGACTACATAATGCTAAAATGCTTCTGTACAGCAAAGAACACTATCAGCAGAACGAAAAGGCATACTACAGTATGGGACAATATATTTGTAAATGACATATCCAGCAAGAGGTTAATATCCAAAATATATAAAGAACGCACATGCCTCAACATCCAAAGAACAAATAAGCCTATTAAAAAATGGGCAGAGGAGCTGAACAGACAGTTCTCCAAAGAATTTCAGATGGCCAACAGGCACATGAAAAGATACTCCACATCACTAATTATCAGGGACATGCAAATTAAAACCACATCGAAAAGAATAGGAACAACAAATGCTGATGAGGATGTGGAGAAAGGGGAACCCTCCTACACTGTTAGTGGCAATGTAAACTAGTTCAACCATTGTGGAAAGCAGTATGGAGGTTCCTCAAAAAACTAAAAGTAGAAATATCATTTGACCCAGGAATTCTACTCCTAGGAATTTACCCTAAGAATGCAGTTTCCCAGTTTCCAAAAGACATATGCACCTGTATGTTTATCAGAGCACTGTTTACAATAGCCAAGAAATAGAATCAAACTAAGTGCCAATCAGTAGATGAATGGATAAAGAAGATGTGATATATGTACATGATGGAGTATTATTCAGCAATCAGAAGAAAACAAATCCTACCATTTGCAACAGCATGAATAGAGCTAGAGGGTATTATGCTCAGTGAAATAAGCCAGGAGGAGAAAGACAAGTACCAAATGATTTCATTCATCTGTGGAGCACAAGAACAAAGCTAAAACTGAAGGAACAATACAGCAGCAGACTCAAAGAACTCCAGAATGGAATAACAGTTGCCAAAGAGAAAGGCACTGGGGGTTGGGAGGGAAGGGAGGGAGAAGGGAAATAAGGCGCATGATGATTAGCTCACATAATGTTTGGGTGGGCATGGGGAAGGCACTATAGCACAGACAAGACAAGTAGTGACTCTATAGCATCTTACTACACTGATGGATAGTGACTGTAATGGGGTATGTGGTGGGCACTTGATAATGGGGGAAATCTTGTAACCACAGTCTTGCTCATGTAATTGTATATTAATGATACCAAAATAAAGTAAATAAATAAATTCTTTGTGAGAAATAATTACACCTGAAGTAAAAGTACTGTGTTTCTGGCCATAAGGAGACAATATAATTAATGAGACTGTATAATAAATGACAACTTTTATAGCTTATCCTTTTCCCCGTAGGACTGCAAAACAAATATATGGAAGTTAATTTTTGGTTTTGAGTTTTTCAATAATTAATGCTCAGTAAATTTGTTCCCTGGTGAACTATTATCACTGGGTGGAGTTGGTCTCATTTCAGAGTTTGTTTTCAATTCTTACCAAGTAGGTCATTCTGGGGGATCCACTTATACAGCTGAGTATTCTGCCCTAAGGTGTCTGGTGTTTTGCCATCAAACCTCCACAGAACCTGTTCAAGTAAAGAAAATAACCATATTCTATGAGGCAAACATAGAAGGTATAGCATGTGAAAATTCTAAGGAAATTAAGAGATAACCTAGTTAAATACCTTTCATAGATACATATGTGATAAGGACAAGTGATGTTAAAAATGAGAACTATAAAATACTGGTATAATAGGAATACCCACAGTTTGTATTCTTATTTTGTATTTAGTCAGGTTATGAATGCAGTCATGATGTTTCACACACAGAGGTCAGGCAACTGAGATTATCAATGAGAAATCAAAGTATTTAAGACATTTTTAGGTAGCTGTTATAATTGTAGTGCAAAAAAGAACTAAGTCACTATACATGCATTTTATCTTTTTATTTTAATTGCTTTTATCTTTCAATGTAACAATATTTTTTAGTGTAACACACAGAAAAGAGTTTACTTATATCCATTTATACCATAAGTTATTTTATTAGTTTTACATTTCTTAATTTACAAAAGGCTAATTTATGGAATCTACTTCTTCTGAGAAATAAACAATTCTGTTTATTAATAATTTGTTAACATAGATAATTTCTCCATAGTGCGTGCATCTAACTTCTTCTTGATTGTTAATTGTTAGGCACTATTTGCAAGAAAAATTTATAGAGGTGGCTATTTACATGAATCCAGAGTATCCTTACTATTTCTAGGTGTGGAAATTATTCAAATGGAGAGATTAATAGAGCCTGTCAGTACTTCATATAGAACAATACAACGGTTGCAAAAAATCCAAAGTTGTGATGATGGCAAAGTTCATTCAACCGAGTGCTCACACCTCAGTCATGTACCACAAAGCACTGACAATGCTGAGTAATCTGGGACCTACAGCCAAGTAATTTCCATGCCCTATACCAAAATAGATTCTATTTGTGGAGTTCCCCAGTGATCCTCATAAACTGATTTATAATTTACAGTCGTAATACATATTTGCTATATGAATGTTCAAGTAACTTCATATTCTCAGCAGAAAATTAGCAGAGGTGATAAGGAAAAGCTGTTTCAGTTAGGATAATAAAAAATAGGTCACAAATACCCCAGTAGAGCAGGTATAGCCTATACATCAGAAAATAATATTCTACTGTGTTTTATGGAGAGGGGACATCTGAAACTTTCCCATGTTTAGCTTGCCTCTGGTTGACTCCTTCATATATTCTCTTCTTCCTCAAATGGAGGAGTTGTTATTCTGATAGGTTAAAAGCAGAGTCCTTTCCAGGGCCACACGTCATTAAGCATGGGGTCACCTTGAGGGTGGACCTACGTCCCTCCTTCTCGTTTACCTTCTCCCTTCACTCTGTATAGGGCCGAGTCCATCAGGGCATGTCAGTTTTCCTCTCCTAAATCATCATGGCTGGATGGTTACCTAATGCAGCTTGGTGAGCCCTGGCCATCCTTTCCTGAATAGGACCCTGAAAAGCACACTAAATAGGCCTATTTCAAAATTTAGGGAAAATAAGAGAGGCCGGGATGACCTAGCAAACCTAAACTGCATGATGCCTTTCAGACTTTATCATTTTGTGCTTAATGTCACTGCTAAGATTTAACATCTTTCTGGGTATTTCTGTAGTGGGTACACAACCCTCAGGAATCCTGAAGGGAAAAGAGACAAAAGATAGGATAGAATTCGGTGGTATCCGTACCTGCCTGCAATACCTTTATAGGAGCAAAACCTCACACCACAACTCTGAAATATGTATTTTTGCGAATCATAATGTTAATGCCAATGTTACTGTCAAAAACACCCTCAGGACTACTTTGGCACCTGCCATGAATATCTCAGTTTGACCTCATACCTGACATGAACTGGAGCTATCATAAGGTTGAGGTGGCATGCAGGAAATTTCTGTAAGGAGGCCCTTTACAGAGTTGAACAGACTCATTAGGTAGTTGCACACTATTAAGGCCCATTATCTAACCTTTTGTGGAATCTGGGCAAGGGCTGACGCAATCACATTGGCTCGCTCTTCTGACATGTTGCTGACCATTGACCCCAGAGTAAACACCACAATACCGTTCTCTCCAGAGCTCTGGACAAACTGTTCCATTTCCTGTGGAGAAAGCATTGGTTCCATCACAAAAGAGCAACAGCATAGCGAACACTATTGGAAGGACTGCGAGAAACAACTAAAGAGAGAAACTCGGTGTAATCAGGAATTATTGGAGTAGTGCCTGCTTTTTAAAAATTCTGGTAGAAAAGCAAGGGCATAACACTCACCTTGCTAACTATTCCTAAGTATATTGTTCAGTAGTGTGTGCATTGACATTGTTGGGGAACCAATGTGCAGACCTTTTACATCTTGCTAAACTAGGACTGTATATCATTATATAAAAATCTCCCTTTTCCCCTTCACCATCCCTGGCAACCATCATTCCAGTCTCTGTTTTTATGAATTTGAGCAGTGTGGATACCTCCTATAAGTGGACACATGCAGATTTGTCTTTCTGTGAGTGACGCATTCCCCTCAACATGATGTTCTCAAGCTTTTCCATGTGGAACCATGGAATTTCCTTCTACTTTATGGCTGAGCAAAATCCCATTGTGTGTAAATACCACATTTTGCTTATTGAACCATCTGTCAATGGACACCTGGGTTGCTTCTACATTTTGGCTCCTGTGAATAGTGCTGCTATAAAATGTGTGTGTAAATATCTTATTGATATCCTGATTTTAATTATTTCAGGTGTATACCAAGATATGGAATTCCTGGGCTGAATGCAATTCTAGTTTTAATTTTTTTGAGGAAGCTCACTTATGTTTTCAGTACTGTGTTTTTTAAAAATGGACCTAACCCTTCAATTCCTTTGAAAAGATGCATGAAATATGAGGTTGATTTCCATTATTATATGTATTTTTACAAGAGTGTATGTGCATGTAAAAGTAAGAATCAATTAGAGGCAGCACACAGTACTGGGAAGATTATATTATTAGGCAGTATTATACCAAGACTATTTATTTAATCACTACTAATTACTAATAGAGATTGTTGAAAGGAGGCCATAAAGCAGAATCTTGTTTATTCCAGGCAGGTTTTCTGGTTAATTACTTTAGTTTGGCCATTAGTATTTTATTTCCATATGAGCACTAAGCATTATGATTGGGATGACTTAATACAGTTTTCTTTCAGTTATGTAATTCAAACCTACACTTCATAAGAATTTCACAAACACTCCCTCTAAATCATTTAATAGCTAGAGGTTGAGAATTACTGATAGTAAGGAGTCCAGTATAGTTTTCCAATTTCCACAAAATAGCCTAAACTTCTTATTTATAATACAATTAAGTGTGTGTGTATGTGTGTGTGAATGTAGCTACGTATTTGAGCGACAGTATTTCCTTTGTTAAATATGACTTCTTTTATGGTGAAATCATGTTGTAAAATTGATGGCCCATAAGAATGTACACACACAATGCTTCACACTGCATCTCTTCAATATATATAGTTTTGTGATCACAATGTTAATACCAGAGTTATTGTCAGTCATAAACATCCTGTCTACCACGTTAGCACCTGCCATGCATGTTTTAGTTGGAGATCACACCTGAGATAAATTGGAGCTATCATAATGGTTGAGGTGTCAGGCAGGAAATTTCTGTCAAAAGTTAAAGATAAGGAGAAAATTTTGAAAATAGGAAGAGAAAAACAACTTGGTATATACAGGGAACCACCATAAAACTATCAGAAGATTTTTCAGCAGAAACTTTTCAGCCTAAATAAGACTGGCATGATAGATTCGATAGACTAGAAGAAAAAATTTGCCAATGAAGAATGCTCTGCCCAGAAGTGTTGTCTTTCATAATTGAAAGTGAAAGAAAGGGACTCCAGATAAGCAGAAGCTGAAGAAGTTTACCCACGCAGTCTCACAAGAAATGTTAAATGTAGTTCTTCAAGCTGAAATGAAAAGATATTAGTTAATAACAGGAAAATTATGAAAGTGTCAACCTCACTGGTAAAGTAAATATATAGTTAAATTCAAAAAAATGTAATGGTAGTGGATAAATCATTTATAACTCTACAATTAAGGTTAAAAGATAAAAATATTATAAAATCACTACAATAAATTTTTAATGGATATGAGTAAAAGCATAAATTTTAACAAAAACATAAACGTGTGTGGAGTAGAGTAAAAATGTAGAGTTTTAGTTTGCCTTTGAAATTAGTCATTATTGGCTTAAAATAGACTATTTTTATAAATAAAAGATGTTTTATGTAGGCCTCATGACAACAATAGAGCAAGAAACTATACTAGATATACAAAAGATAAAGAAAAAGGAACTTAAGTATTCCACTACAAAAATCATCAAACCACTAAGGAAGAGAGCAAGAGAAGATGGAAAAAAGAAATTATAAAATAGCAGGAAAAGACTGAGCAAAATGACAATAGTAAGTACATACCTATCAATAATTACTAGTGTAATCAGGAATTATTGGAGTAGTGCCTGCTTTTTAAAAATTCTGGTAGAAAAGCAAGGGCATAACACTCACCTTGCTAACTATTCCTAAGTATATTGTTCAGTAGTGTGTGCATTGACATTGTTGGGGAACCAATGTGCAGACCTTTTACATCTTGTTAAACTAGGACTGTATATCATTATATAAAAATCTCCCTTTTCCCCTTCACCATCCCTGGCAACCATCATTCCAGTCTCTGTTTTTATGAATTTGAGCAGTGTGGATACCTCCTATAAGTGGACACATGCAGATTTGTCTTTCTGTGAGTGACGCATTCCCCTCAACATGATGTTCTCAAGCTTTTCCATGTGGAACCATGGAATTTCCTTCTACTTTATGGCTGAGCAAAATCCCATTGTGTGTAAATACCACATTTTGCTTATTGAACCATCTGTCAATGGACACCTGGGTTGCTTCTACATTTTGGCTCCTGTGAATAGTGCTGCTATAAAATGTGTGTGTAAATATCTTATTGATATCCTGATTTTAATTATTTCAGGTGTATACCAAGATATGGAATTCCTGGGCTGAATGCAATTCTAGTTTTAATTTTTTTGAGGAAGCTCACTTATATTTTCAGTACTGTATTTTTTAAAAATGGACCTAACCCTTCAATTCCTTTGAAAAGATGCATGAAATATGAGGTTGATTTCCATTATTATATGTATTTTTACAAGAGTGTATGTGCATGTAAAAGTAAGAATCAATTAGAGGCAGCACACAGTACTGGGAAGATTATATTATTAGGCAGTATTATACCAAGACTATTTATTTAATCACTACTAATTACTAATAGAGATTGTTGAAAGGAGGCCATAAAGCAGAATCTTGTTTATTCCAGGCAGGTTTTCTGGTTAATTACTTTAGTTTGGCCATTAGTATTTTATTTCCATATGAGCACTAAGCATTTGATTGGGATGACTTAATACAGTTTTCTTTCAGTTATGTAATTCAAACCTACACTTCATAAGAATTTCACAAACACTCCCTCTAAATCATTTAATAGCTAGAGGTTGAGAATTACTGATAGTAAGGAGTCCAGTATAGTTTTCCAATTTCCACAAAATAGCCTAAACTTCTTATTTATAATACAATTAAGTGTGTGTGTATGTGTGTGTGAATGTAGCTACGTATTTGAGCGACAGTATTTCCTTTGTTAAATATGACTTCTTTTATGGTGAAATCATGTTGTAAAATTGATGGCCCATAAGAATGTACACACACAATGCTTCACACTGCATCTCTTCAATATATATAGTTTTGTGATCACAATGTTAATACCAGAGTTATTGTCAGTCATAAACATCCTGTCTACCACGTTAGCACCTGCCATGCATGTTTTAGTTGGAGATCACACCTGAGATAAATTGGAGCTATCATAATGGTTGAGGTGTCAGGCAGGAAATTTCTGTCAAAAGTTAAAGATAAGGAGAAAATTTTGAAAATAGGAAGAGAAAAACAACTTGGTATATACAGGGAACCACCATAAAACTATCAGAAGATTTTTCAGCAGAAACTTTTCAGCCTAAATGAGACTGGCATGATAGATTCGATAGACTAGAAGAAAAAATTTGCCAATGAAGAATGCTCTTCCCAGAAACGTTGTCTTTCATAATTGAAAGTGAAAGAAAGGGACTCCAGATAAGCAGAAGCTGAAGAAGTTTACCCACGCAGTCTCACAAGAAATGTTAAATGTAGTTCTTCAAGCTGAAATGAAAAGATATTAGTTAATAACAGGAAAATTATGAAAGTGTCAACCTCACTGGTAAAGTAAATATATAGTTAAATTCAAAAAAATGTAATGGTAGTGGATAAATCATTTATAACTCTACAATTAAGGTTAAAAGATAAAAATATTATAAAATCACTACAATAAATTTTTAATGGATATGAGTAAAAGCATAAATTTTAACAAAAACATAAACGTGTGTGGAGTAGAGTAAAAATGTAGAGTTTTAGTTTGCCTTTGAAATTAGTCATTATTGGCTTAAAATAGACTATTTTTATAAATAAAAGATGTTTTATGTAGGCCTCATGACAACAATAGAGCAAGAAACTATACTAGATATACAAAAGATAAAGAAAAAGGAACTTAAGTATTCCACTACAAAAATCATCAAACCACTAAGGAAGAGAGCAAGAGAAGATGGAAAAAAGAAATTATAAAATAGCAGGAAAAGACTGAGCAAAATGACAATAGTAAGTACATACCTATCAATAATTACTTTAAATGTAAATGGACTAAACTATCTAATCAAAATACACAGAGTGACTGAATGACTAAAAATCATTGTCCCAATTATGTGCTGCCTCATTTCCGTGCTGACACACACAGACTGAAAGTGAAGGAAAGGGAAAATGTATTTCATTAAAATGGAAGCCAAAAGAAATTAGGACTAACAATACTTATATCAGTGTGAGAATGGTCACAAAAGACAAAGGAATTCATATATACTGATAAGAGGGTCAATCTAACAAGAGGTATTACATTTGTAAATATTTAGACACCTAACACAGGCGAACCTAAATATAAAGCAAATAGTAACAGACCTGCAGAGAGATAGACAGCGATACCATCATTGTAGGAGACTTAATAC